CCTTTTCCCCACATCCTCAGCCAATACTCATCTCCCTCTCTTTTTAATTATAGCCGTCCTAACAGGTGGGAAGCGACAACTCTTTGGCGTCCGATTTGCATTTCCCTGACGAGTGAAATGGAGCGTCTTTTCATGCATCTATAGGCCAGCTGTGTGTCTCCTTTGAAGAAATGCCTGTTAAATCTTCGGCCCATTTTTTTAAATCGAGACATCTGGGTTTTGCCGGGGAGCCACCGGGTGCCCACAATGTCCCCCAGGAGCTTTCTGACTAGGCTCTTCGCATCCAGCTCTCTGTTCTGCCTGGAAGGCTCTCTGGGTGCGGCATGCAGTGGGCCCCCATTTCCTTCCTGCAGAATTGTCCCTGGGCACCCATCAGGGCCACCCTCCTCCCGCGCTCCGGACACCCCTTTACTACACACGTGCCCAGCACGCGAGCCTGCTTCTGCGCTCTGCACCCGCTCCGTTCGCCGGTCGGTTCTTTTCCGGCGGCGAGGTCTTCCCACCGGGCAGAGCAGGCCCTGCCTCCCGTGTCTCGCAAAGGGCCTCGGGGGCCTCTGTCCTCCACGTCAGGGCACCGCAGTCTCAGGGACTGAAGGCACCACCTTTTCAAGTGGTCCCATCCCCGTCAGGCAGAACTGGCCGCCTCCCACTTCTGGCCCGTTTGTTTACACCGCGAACACAACGCCCTGCCGACATTGGCCCTCGGAAGGCCCTGCGCCCCCGGCAGCGCGAGCCCGGCGCACACGGCGCCGCACGCAGGCGTCGGAAGCCGGCGCAGCCAGCGGCTCCCGATGCGCACGTCTGGGTGCTCCACCTCTCCGCACGCAGGGCCCTGCAAAATGTCGCCGCACCCCCGCCCGGAGGGCCCCAGAAGACACAGGGAAAGCTTGCGCCCAGGGCCCGGCACACGAGAAACGCCCGCTTTTTAAAATTCGGGTTATTGCTTCCTGGTGAGTTTCCCACTCCGTCCCCCGCCAACATCAAGCCAGGGAGAAGCCACAGGTGGCTCATCTCCAAGTCGACGGGCACTTCTCTGAATCAGACACATAAAAATGAAGGTATCGTTTACACCCACTTCACTGTGTCTCCTGTGACTTACAGCAACCGGTAGACACACATGTGCCTTGGGGGCCTTCCTCACCCGCTAGAGGCGAGGCGGCCAAGTGAGAGGTGACATGGCAGCTCTTCAGTCCTCAGCGGGGGTGCTCGGCCCTGCCTGTCACTCCTGGGGCGACGCCTCACCGGGGGCCGCCGGCAGTGATGGAGGTGGGGCCCGAGGCGCTGCCGAGTCCTCTGGGCTCCCAGGTCTCGCGGGAGGCCGGGCCTGGGGCTGCGGGGTCCGCCTTGGGCCCAGGCGGGCCTCTCTGCCGCGGCCTCCTCCGCAGCCTGCTGGCCCTCGCAGCCGCCGCCGGCTGGGCACCGGCGTCCCAGCGCCTCTCGACAGCTGCCCCCGCTGCTCCGGGCGCCCTGGGGTCCCCGCCGTCCCGCCCGCTCTGCTGGCCTCCCTCCCTCCCGGAGCCCGGCTCCCCGCCAGCGGCCCCTGCAGCCACACGCGTCCCGCAGAGGGTCGCAGAAAGCCCCGGCGCTCTTCCTCGAAGCCGCAGGAGACCCCAAGAGACGCCCTGGGCCGGGGCCGAAGCCCCGCCGGGGCCACACACGCACGGCCAGTGTGGCAAAGGCCCATTTCTTTCCTGCACGAGCCTTGGAAAAACATATGCAGAGCGGGCTCCTCCTGTGAACGTTTGCTTTCTGCCGCAGTTCCAACCGTGAGGCTCAGGCAACGTCAGCAAGAGACAACCGCCGGGTCACGTGTGAAAACCGTCCCCGCGAAGGCCCGTCGGACCGTCGGGTGGCCGCCCAGGGGGCGCGAGCCGACCCTGCGGCGCGTGTGGCAGTCGCGGGCCCTCGCCCCGCGCTCGCGGTCGACCGGCCTCTCTGCGCCCCGCGCGTCGCTGCCAGGAACGCGAGGCAGAGCCCGCACCGGCCACTTCCCTGAAGCGCTGCCCCTCTGCGCGCCACCCCCTCCGGGCACGAGCCCGCAAAAGACTTCTTCTCGGACAAAGGAGCGGGACTAGCCGACGCTTCCGTCTCCTGAGCCTGCCACGTTACCCTCAGTACAAACCGCGTGAGGACGGCCGCGCCGCCCCAGGGGCTCTTGCTGGTGTTGAGTGTGGTCTGCGAACGTTTACGGCGCAGCGAATGGAATGTCCGCACTTTAGCGGCTGAGAGCGTGTCCCATCCCCCACGCCGAGTCCACAGCAAGCCCGGGGGCAGCAGAGAGGGGGCGGGGGTCCGCCAGGCCCGGGCGGGCGAGGAGGAGCGCGCGAGGGGCGCCGAGGCCCACAGCCCACGCGCTGTGATGCGGCTGCCTTGGCTTCGGTCGGGGCACTTTTAAACGCTGCCCCGAGCCAGTCTCGCGGCCAGAGGCAGGCCAGCCGCGTCCTGGGCCCGCAGCCGCCCGCCAGCCGTGGCGGGCTCGCTCCCACCGGGGCCACTCTGCGCCTGCTCTAGTGACCAGGCCCGGCACCCCTCCCAGGGGCGGCGCCGGTGCGCGAGCCCACGGACTTGCTCGCCTTCTTCAGTCCGCAGGGAGCGCGCCACCCACCGGTGCCCCCGGCAGCTCCAGCTCGCGGGTACCCGTCACCGGACGACCCCCGGCGCAGCGCGCCAGGGCCTTCCCCCTTTTGGTGCTGTCACCTACCCGAGTGTCCGTAAGCTGTGTCCAGGCACCAAGAACCTGTCGGTCTTAGGAACAGCGGCCGACTGTGACGTTTCCGGGCCGAGCGCGGTGGGGGGGGCTGGGGAGGCGGCACAGGCAGGAGTGGGGCCACCGAGGCAGCTGCGGGGGCCCTGGCAGAGGGACGCAGAGGGACGAGGGTCTCCTCGTGGTGAGCACCCAACCTCCGCGAGTCGGGACCCAGCGAGGAGCAGAGGCAGCTGGCGCAGCGGGGGCCACAGAGCCCCGGGGCGGTGCCGCCCTCCGGCCCCTCCCCCGTGGACCCGCCGCTCCTTCCTCTGCAGCCCGAGGCACCTTGTGGCGAGGCGCCCGCAGGCTGTGGCGCTCCTTGTTCCTCCCCACGCCCTGGCCCACCCATCTGAGCCCCCAGGCTTGGTTCTGGCCTGAAACTAGTAGTATGGGTTTGCCAAACGGTGAAGATGAAAAAGTTTTTTGAACACGAAAATGGATGACCTCGGAGGCCTCGGTGCAGGGTTGGGAATCCACGCCCGCAGGCGGCTCCCAGCCTGCTGCCCGCTCTGTCAACCCCGACCCTGGGGACACGGTCAGGCCCTTCGGCTCAAGGTGCCGTCTCTGGCCGACTTCACGTGGGGAGGGCCCGGCTGAGGGGCCACAGGCAGTACCTGGCCCTCGAAGCCGAAGCTGCTCTCCGCCCAGAACAGAGGGCTTGCCTGTCCCCGCGGTCGAGGGACACTGCATTTACAAAGCAGGCGCGGACGTGCTCTGAGACACTAGCAAAAGAATTCTAATAAAGGAGAAACCTCACCACCAAAATAAAAAAGAAAACTCAGCGTCAGGCTTGAAACACAAGATGGAGGCGACATTCCAGGAAGCAGAACACAAGACTGAGAGACGGAAGGTGGAAAAGGTAAGAGGCAGGAAGAGGAAGAGAGCGGATCAGTGAAAGTCACAGGAAAAAACAACAGAGAAAACACCGACAGATTAAAAAGTAATCCCAAACTCAGGTACACAAGTTCTTAGGGGGAAGGGACCCTCACGAATGAAAAAGACCTATTCCCAACGCACATCATTTTGACATGTCCACACCTCAGGAAAGAAGAGTCTGAAAGCCTCCAGAGGGAGAAGAGAAAGAGAACAGATCACATACGACAGAAGAACCACCAAAATGGCATCGCGCACGCCAACAGCAGCAGCACCAGGACACACGCTCCCCAGAAAAGAGTCTTCCGGGTTCTAAGAGGAAGTATTTTCATTCTACGATTCGTACTCACTGGGAGGGGCCAGTGCCCTACGTCCGCTCGTTGGTGACACCATGAAAAGAGCACTGCCCTGTGCTCTGTCCCCAGGGCTCTGCCCAGGACCTGGCGGGGCAGGGGGACGGGGACAGCGTCAGCCACAGGACTCTCCAACTGCTGTCTTCAAGCTCCTCACTCTACACTCACGCCACACACACACCTCTGAAGAGAAACGACAGGGTCACTCACACGAGGAGCACGGGCCAGAGGAGAGGGGATGTCAGCGAGCGCGCCCAGCAGGGGCTGCGCGGCACTTCCAGAAACGTGTCTGAGGAGGACGTCACGTTGGAGATAAAAATATAATCAAAAGTCAATCGGTACAATCCAGAACAAATGTAGAACCAAACCCCTAAAAACCACACGCTCACATACGGGCTACGTCGGTGTGGACCCCGAGCATCCGCCAGGCCTCGCAGCCTCTCTGCGGAGTCTGGCTCCGGCCCGCGTCAGACCCGCTCCGGGTCGCCTCGCCCCAAAAGCGATGGCTCCCTTCTGCCGGCGTCAGGCACGTCTGTCCCCAGGGAGCAGGCTGTTTCACTTTGCTTTACTGAGCACGAATGTGGCTGCCGATGCCACAAGTACAGCGCTTTCTGGTTGTGATCAAACCCCACGGAGCTCACATGTAAATAGATCCTGTCATTCGGGTTCCAACCAGTAGAGAAAAACCTATCCATACAATACACACATGCACACAGAGGCACATGCGTAGGCAGAATGTCTTGTGTTCAAATTGTAAGGGTAGAAGAGAAGGAAATATCTTTTCTCTTTATTTTATGACCTTTCATCGAGATGTGCTATTTTCACATTTTTAAAATTTAACTTAAGCCTTGAAACATTAGCTTTGCAATGATCCGAGAATCGTAATTTCTCATGTGAAATAAGGAGGCATCTCGCAGGCTACTGTTTTATTTTCACTTCCAACACCAAGAACAGACCTGGTCGATCCAAAATAAACAAACAACTAGCCATCTGCCACCCGTGGCTAACCCCCAGCTTCATGCCCCAAGTCAGCGGCCAACCCCCGCCAGCCCGAGGAAGAGCACCAGGCTGACGACGAAGTGCTCCTCCGTCTCCTTGATCCACGCCAGCTCCATGTGCAGTGCGCCCGCCGTGTCCGTGCAGTCGATGCAGGAGGTCTGTCCCACGAAGTGGGGGTCGTCGGGGGGCCTGGGAGACGCTCGCATGCAGACCGGGGAACTGAAACACCAGAAGGGTTTCCCATACTCATCCAGAACAGTTACATCCATTATAGAGCAACTCTACAAAATAAGCACAAACATCGGTAAGTGTGAGGATGGCAAGGCTGCTCCGACCTGGCGGGTCTGATGAATAAACGCGTGAGTGCGTCAGGGAAGCCAACCCGAGGGAGGCGGGAGAGGAGGGCGGCGCTGAGAGAGAACACAGGGACCATTAACTCCTGGGCACAGCTGGCGGGGGGTGCCAGACCGAGCCGCGAGGGTGGGGCGGCCCGTCCCTCGCTGCACCCGTGCCCGCGCCTGTCACCGGCGCAGTGTCAGCCAGTCAGGCGAGGAGCAAAAGCAGGGCAGTGGTGACGTGCACCCCTGCGGCACCCGGGCGCCAGCCCCAAAGTCACAGCCTTCACTGAGCCACCGAGCCACTCGCGGGGAAGAGGAGGCAGAAGAAACGCAAGGCCGCCTGGGCAGGGGCTGGGGTCAGAGGGGGAGGGCGGAGAAGGGTCAGCCCCCCCGCCCGGTTCCCTGTGCAGAAGGGGAGGGTCTGGGAGAGGAAATGTGGAGAGGTCAGGCCCGCGGGGTCCAAGAGGCGTCGCTGGGTGGGGACTCGGCTTGGGGTGGGAGGCAGCACTGGGGAAACCAATCGCCGCGAAGGTTAGTAACGAGCTATATTTCAAGTTCATTTTTAACTGTGGCAAAGCACACATACCAAAGCCACGTTTACATGTGCGTGCACAGCTCACGGGCCCTGCGCGCACACACGGCTGCGCCGCCGCCGCCGCCGCCGCCGCCTGCCTCCGGGGCTCCCTTCGCTTTGCAAAACTGAAATCCTTGACCAGGCTCACTGAACAGCAGCTGCCGCCCCCCGCCCCCGCTCCGCCCCCCACACTCTGTCTCCGTGGGTTTGACTGCGCTGGGCGCCCGTGTATGTGGCCTCCCGCGGGGTCGGTCCTCTGTGTCCGGCTCGCTTCCGTTACCTTCACGTCCTCAGGGCTCGGCCGCGGAGCAGCGGGTGCCAGACGGCCCCTCCTTTTAGAGGGGCGGGGCCATCCCGCCGCCAGGGGTGCACGCTCGCCACCCATGGGCCCCGAGGCCCCTCCCGCCCCGGCCACCACGTGTGATGCTGCTACGACCACGAGCGGGCAATGTGGGCTGTATCTTCTCATGGGTTCTATGTGCCAGGCACCGACCCAAGCAGTTTACATGCATTATTTTATTTAATTCCCAAGGAACTGTGAGCTGACATCGAGGGTGAACTCTTCTAACACCTTTTCAGATACGGCTCATTGTTAGCTGTGACTTCTGCCCTGTGTGTGTGTTTCATTGATTGCAACTTAAACACTTCCTCTCAGGGGTCAGCAGAGGTAGCAGGCACAGCCACGGCGATGCCGAGATATCACGGGTGGACTTGCTCCCAGGCATCCGGACGCGATGAAGCGGGGCCGAAACTGCTGCCGTTTGGACCTGAGCATGACCAGGCCAAAGGTCCTGACCCAAAAATCGGGCATCTCACAGAAATGGAAGGAACAGAGACACTCCACCAGTCAAGGGAAATAAGCCGTTTAGTAAGTGCCGGCCTGTGGAAGGGCCCGAGCAAAGAGCCGGTCCACGGGAACCCCGCCCCAGCCGGCACCGGCACAGGCTGCGCAGGAAGCGCGCCGCCTCAGCAGGGGCGCCCATCGGGGCGGCCCGGGGCCCCCACAGACAGGCCCTCCTCCTGGCGCCTGCCCGGGTCCCGAGCAGCAGGCAGATCAGCCAGGGCATCGCACCCGCTGCTTCCGGCACAGCAGGGACCGTGAGCTCGCAGACGGAGCAGACGGAGCAGACGGAGCAGGGGGGCCCGTCCTCACTGTGGCCTCCCTGCGCCGAGGACAGGGACCAGAGCCTGAACCGAGGGCGCAAGGATGTCTCTGCCCGCGCGGTGGGCCCTCAGCAGGACCGCTGGGGGTGGAGCGCTGGCTGCCTTGGCGACTTCCGGTACCGTGGGGTGGGTGGCCACGGCACCCCGGCCGGTCTCCACCTCACTGTGCTCCATCTAACGACCGGCTCCGCGGTCGCTCGGCTTTCGGACCTGAAGCCCCGGGAAACCCCACCAGCTCAGGCAGCAGCCAGGGCCAGGGCCAGGGCCAGGAGGGGACACCCGTGCGGCAGACGGAGGAGGAGGAGGCGGGGAAGGGATGGCCAAGGGCATCCTAGCCCTTGTCCAGGGTGCGAGGATGCGGGCGTCAGCCCAGGCCTGCAGTGAAGGGCCTGCCCCCCACCCCGCCCGCACTGCCAGGGAAAGCCGGCTGGGCGACCATCGCCGCAAAGCCCTCCCGCTTCCAAGGCCGAGCATCCGCCAGCTCCCTGGCGGCCCGGGAAGCAGCCCGGCACACGCGGGCACTCAAAGCCCTCCCATCGCTCCCCGCAGGCACGGGGCCCCCCACGCTCGCTCCCGCGGGCGTCACCCCCGCAGGAGCCGCCCAGAGCCCCTGCGCAGCGCCAGCCCTGTCCCGCATACCAGGGAGCCCCGTCCCACCAGGACAGGGACACGGACGTGCCACCCTGGGCTTCTCCAGCCCCACCCGCAGCCTCCGAGGCGCGCAGGCCCCCTCCTCGCCCCTCCCGGAACCTCTCCTTCCTCCCCGTCCCAGCCACCAGGCTCCTTCCCCAGGGCCAACCCCTCCGTCCTTGGGGGACAGGGGAGGCAAGGCGGGGGCGGGGGGCGTACTTCAGAGCCGCCTCCGCACCTTCCTCCACTCACTCTCCCCCATCCTCCTCCTCAGGAGAAAGCTGTCCCCACAGCCTCCTCAGTCGGTGCGCCCCACGCGCCGGCAGAGCGCGCCCCGACGTGGCCAGCAGGACCCTCCCGGTGACAGTTTTCCTCTCCCGCTCCCCAGTTACAATGAACTCCTCCAGGCGCGAAACGCAACATCGGGGGCACACAGCGCCTACGCGTGCGGGGACGTCTCGGTCCCTCAAGTGCCATCACCTGTAATCACCCAGGTCACCACAGAGCTCGCCAGCAGACTGGCCAGAGCACCCTTATCGCCACGGGGGGGGGGGCCACGCCCACCGGTGGGTCCCTCAGAACACAGCCCGGGCCGTGCTGGAACACGCAGCTCGGGTGAAAATGGGTGCCCAGCTCCAGGCGGATCTGGAAGTCACATTACAATTGCATCAAAGATGCCAAGGGATAACAGAAAAAAGCACCGGAACAAGTGCAAGGAAAACCTCCATCAGTCCCACTTCTGACGGTCCCGAGGCCGCGCAGACCAGGAGAGGGCTCTGATCTGGCTCCGCGGAGACCCAGCGGGGCCACTGCACAGGCGGCCCGGCTGTCCCCACAGCTCCGCAAACAGCACGGCGACCAGCCGCAGAGCAGTGGTCCCGTGCGGGCGTGTGACCGGCCCTTCAGCCTCGGTCAGCATCTCTAGATGTGTCCGATACCACAGCCTGGCTGCAGGGAAAAGCCAACTGATCTGTTTGTAAGGCGACTTCTTCCACACTGACTCACGGACCACGTGAAATCGCGGGCGCTCAGGCTCCCGCCACCATCCGGCTGGACGGCCCGAGCCCGGGCGTGGGCCGCAGGGCCCGTCCTCCCTGCCCCTCTGCCCCTCTGCCCCTCTGCCGGAGATGACCGTGCGGGAACAGGGGCCCGGAGGCCCTCGGACGGCGTCCTGCAGGCCAGGCGGCGGGCAGGCCCTCGCCCCTCAGCAGCAGCAATGCCGCCGTTTCATTTCTGTCCTTGTGACCGGAGTCACGGATCTGGATGACACGCCTGGGCTCGTTGTAAATGACAGCATTAGGAGGCACCTTCTGCTTCTGCGGTTTCCAGGAGAGGCGAGGGTTTTTGTTTGTGGGGCTGTCAGCGTTTTCTCTCATACGCCCTTGTTGGTAAGAACTCTTCAACTCCGTGAAATTAATTTCTTAAAGGGTATTTCAAGGCTTCAGTGTAGCTACCGGGTTCAGGAAGCTGGAGGGAAAGTCCTGATCCCCATGGCAAACGGCAGGGACGTGACACCTCTGACTTCTGGTCTTCAGCAGCTCCGAGGACAGTTTAGTCTCAACACTGAACCCAAATGCGAAGCGGCACAAAGCGGAGGGGCCCCAGGCACCTGCGCGCTCCCCTCCTCCTCCCACACAAAGCCCCTGAGGGGAGGGCTTTCCAGGGACGGCTGTCGGAGGACAGGCGGTTCACTCCCGCCTGGAAGAGCGGGAAAGCCGGGCTCGGGTCAGGCTGTTTGACTAGAAACCTGTGAGTGTGAGTCACACGGGTGTAGGGGCCTGCGCGGCCGCTGCCCGGAGCCCACCCTGAAGCCACGCCCGCAGCGGCTGGAGGGGGACCCGCTCCGCGCTTGCGGCCGACGCGCTGTTAACCATGGTGCAGCGTGCAGCTCGGTCCGCCTCACATCGCGTCCCACTGGAGACCGGGGCGCACTGACCAGGGCCGCGGGACGCTGTCCCTCCGCACCGGCACCACACGGCCCTCTGAGCCAGGTAACTGCCCGGCCCGCTGTCGGTGACCAGGAAGGGCGGGATGGTTGTTTCCAAAATTATGCTGCCCCATTACGCCTGCTTTACATTCTGCCTTTCCTGGTCCTCCAAGTCTTATTTTGGTCTCCATGTTTTATTTTAGTACATATTTTTATAAACCCGTCTAAACCCATTTTTAAAAATTCAGGTCTGTGGTCTTTCATATCCTTTCTCATGTGATAACCAATCTGTAAAGCACTTCCTTACACCAAGCAGCAAGGGGGTCAGGAGACGACACACTCGGACCTGGACCGCGCGGCGTGCACGGCACGGACCCACCTGTATGCGGTTTCTTCAACACGTTCTGTTAGTGTGTTTCTCTTCCTTATGATTTTCTTTATAACACTTTCTTTCATCCAGCTGACTTTATCGTAAGAATCTCGAACATTAACACATATACTATACACAATCTGTGTTAATTGTCTGTTTCCATAGACAATTAATAGTAAGTTTTTAGAGAGTCAAAAGTTGCATGTGGATTTTCAGCTGCCCACGGGGGCGGGAAATACGGTCGGCACCCCAACCTCTGCGCTGTTCAAGGGCCCACGGCACCTAACAGTGACTGCGTCCTCGAACGCTCAGTGGCAAATGCTGCGCTCGGTCCCTGTCATCGCCACCGACAGTTCTAACAAGGCACCCGCACACGCACAGCCGAGTACTGGGGGCCCTCGGCGCTCAGAGGAGAGTGACCCCACTGGCTGGGAAAACCCTGTTCCCCCCACAGAACAGAGCCGGGGAGCGAAGCAGTCGGGGGGCAGCCCCGGCACCAGAGCTGCGAGAAGCAGCAGAGCCAGGTCGGAGCGCCCGGCCTCGTGCCCCCGCCTGCCCCTCGCCCTCCCCGCCCAGCTTCCCTGACGGCTCCCAGCCACCAAATCAACTCTCCCAGCATGTGGCCAAGTTTCGAGGGAGGTAGAAATTGATTTAACTGTTGGCGGAAACAGTTGCGACCTGGGAGTCATAACTGTGATAAAGGTTGAATCGGTGGGTGAGTAATTAAGACATTTTGAGAAAATGCTGCTTTGCCCGATCCAGCCTGCCGCTCCGCTCCTTCTCCACAAAACAAAGAGAAGGGCTTGGCAGCTGCAGCCAGCCCCCCGCCCCACCACGCACGCGGCTGCAGGTGCCCTGCCACCTCCACTCCCAGTGACACGGAAGGCACTTGGAAGCACTGACCAACACACCCACTGGCGGGCAACAGTTAAAGCACACGCACAACCTTCAGCCGCCAGAGTAATAAATCCAGGACTTCAAAGGCAGCACCGTACACGTGCGTCAGCTGACCTTTTTCATCATTCAGGCGCCGGGCTACTTTAAAAGCGACACCAGCAGTTACCTTTACGCAGCCGTCAGCAATGTCGGTTCTCCAGGAGAGGCCGACCTCCCCGACGAGAGGCAGGTGCTCCGTGCTGTTTTGAAAATGTATCACAGTGAGCTTCACGCGCCCATTTTCAATGCATCCTGGAAAGACGAAACAGCCTCACGTTGCTACGGGCCAGCGCAGGACGGGAGGTCAAGACCCTCCGGGCCTGCCGCTGCGCGGAGGGCCCCCCAGCCAAGCCCGGAGCCCGAGGGCGGGAGCTCGGGGCGCCTCCAGGCGCCCACCGGCAGCCAGGGCTGAGCACCTGCACCCCAGGGATGAGAACTAGCGGGCGCCCTGAAAAAGTGGGGGAGGCGACCCGGGTGAACCTGGACATCCCGTCACGGACAGAGAGGCTGCTAAGGAGGCGAAGGTCTCCTGACCTGAGGAAGCTGTCAGCAGTGCAACAGAGAATGAGAACTGGGGGGGGGGCTGCGCAGGCCGCACCATGGAACACCTGAGAGGCCGTGGGCTGGGAGCAGGGAGGGCGAGTCAGGGCAGGGAGGCCTTGGGGCGCAGGGGAACGGGACACACACGTGGGGCGGACACCTCCACGGCTCCCAGGCAGTCAGCGTCCTCGCCCGCGCTTCCCGGCGAGTGAGGCCAGGGGCCCTGGAGCCGTGCAAACCTCACAAGAACCGCCAGGCCGCCAAGGGCCCGACAGGTCCCAGGCCCACGCACAGTCCGCTCTCCAAGGCCCCGATGTCAGGAACTGCAGGACCTGAGCTTCGCGCGCTGCCCATCCCCCCCCCCAAGTGGCTGTCACGCAGAACAGCACAAGAGCCCCTCCCCTTGATGAAGGACTTCCTCAGAGGGAGGCACCTGGACAAAGGCAAACTGTGAGGCACGGGGCAGAGCAGATGGAAGAAGAATGGAGACTAGCGCGTGTCCTTTGACCCTCGGCTGACGATTTCAGAGGATAAAATAAAACCGAAGCAAAGCTACCTTGGGAGCCAAAGCCCTATTCTAGAAACTCCCACAGCGATCGCACCAAGGGGTGCCAGACGACGGAGTTGAGATCCGCGCTCTCCTGGCAGCCTCCCTGGTGAGACAGCAGGGCGCGGCCCAGGACGGGCCCGCGGGGGCGGAGCACCCTTGCCTGGCGATGCCGCCTCTGCCCGGTCTGGCTTTTGCCCCCAGGACAGAAGCTGCTGAGCCACTGGCAGGACCTGTGCAGCCTCTCCTTGGGCCCGTGAACGCCAAGGGGCACCGCCCTTCCAGGGCAAGCCCCACCGTCAGCCGGGCAGAGCTGGGGGTAGCAGGGAGCAACTGCAAAGCGAGGCCTCGGTGCAGCCGGGAGAACGGCCGCCAATTGGGCTGCGTGCTACTGGGCCCTGCTGCGTCCCCGCCCGGATGTGCTGGGCAGGAGGCGGGGCTGCATTTCCATGTGGTTTGTCCTGGGGACACGGCCAAAAACGGACCCCCAAGTACAGCCGCCAGGGACGCCTGAGTGGCCACGTCTGAGCTAATGAACGTGACGTCCCCGCGGGCGGCCAGGACTGCTGCCCCGGGTCGCTGCCAGGCTCCTCCCCTTCCCCACAGCTGCTGCCGCGCCTGCGGGGTCTCCCAGGGCCCGCGCGGCCTCCTCCCGCCGCCACGGCCACCGCGGGTCTGTGAGCACCACGGGAGGCTCTGCCCGCGTGTGAACAACCCGCACACAGAAGGTTCGTGCGGAAGCATGTGCGTGGAAAACGGGGGATGGTTTTGAGTGCTTGCTGTGTACAACCATTGTGTTAAGCACGTCATGTACAGTAGCTTAAAAGACTACTCTGGAAGAACACCTTAAAATAACACAATTAACTAGGTATTACAGTTTTCTGGACCCCCAGGCAGGAAAGCTACGCAAAGAGAGGTTAACGGTACCTTGCCCACAGTCATACTGCTGGCGAGGGGCGAAGACAGGATTCAAACCTTGTTCTGGGTCTAGAGTCCATGGGACAGTAGATCAAAACATATACAAAAAGGGGAAACAATCACCTATTAGTTTAAATACTGAGAGTCTATAATGTGGATTAAATTTTCATGAAGTGCTTCTGTACTACTGCCAATTGAGAAAAATCTACAAATTAGCAAAGTAAGTGGAGATCACTCTCGGCTCCCCAGAATGCTCGGCGATTCCTCTGTTGGTGAGGCCTGCACTCTCCCTCACCCATCCCCCCAACCTCCTTATTACCAGGTCCCGAGTGACCCTGGTCCATTCACGGACAGCTCACACGCCCTCCGTTGAACCCGTGTCCCTGACGCCATTCAGAAGCAACCCGAAACCTAGCCTCTCCGTAAGACCCTCCTGCTCACTGGAGGCGCAGGGAAACGTGCCCGCGGCTCACCAACCAGGCCCCAGGGACCTGCCTCGCCAGCACGGCCGTGGGGGCCGCAAGGACCGCATTCCACACCTGCGCAGCCACGCGCCAGCGGCACAGCCGTAGCCAACCCCTGAGCCAGGAACGGACACACCCAGAAACAGCTTCGTGGAGCTTTGGGAAGACCAATGGGACTGATAACAAATACCGGCATTACAGGGTGGATTATTAGGTCAAAATAATTCAGTGAGGAACAAAGTCTTGTCACAAATGGCGCAAAAAGCAATTTGCTATTTATATGGGAAAGTAGAATGAACCTCAACCCTGAGCTTGCACATCACACAAGCACGAATCAGGACGGACCACAGAACCACACGGAAAAGCTAAAACTGTAATAAGAAGGAAGGAAGGGAATAGTACCTCCACAACCCGGGGTGTGAAAAGCTTTAAAACAGGGGGGGAAAAAAGAAAGAAAGAAAACAATAGCCATCAAATTTAAAAAACTGATAAATTAGATTTCATTGAAATGAGAAAATTCTGATCATTAAAAGATATCATTAACAAAATGAATAGCAAGCAGGAGAGTGGGACAAAGTATTTGCAAAACCTGTATCTGAAAAAGTATGGGTATCCAGAACACAGAAAGAACTCCTAAAATTCTGAAATAAAGAGACAAACAACTCATTTTTCACAAAGGCAAAAGACTTAAGACATACTTCAATAAGAAGATAGCAAATGACTAATAGGCACATGAAAAAGTACTTAGCATTACTGGCCATCAGAAAATGCAAACCAAAACCACCGTGAGCTACCAGCCTACAGGAGAATGGCTAAAACATAAAAGACTGATGACATCGAACGCTGGTCAGAACCCGGAGCAACAACAACGTTCATACATTGATAAAGAGTGTAAAATGGTACAATCATTCTAAAAACAAGTCTGGCATTCTTATACATAAAAATGTTTGGTAATTTGTCATACATAAACCAGCCCTAAGCCCTAACAATTCCAAGCCCTAAGCATTCAGCCAAGAGAAATGAAAACATAGGTCCACCAAAAAGACTTTCATCAGAATTCCATAGGAGCTTTATTCCTAATAACCCAAAGCAGAAAACCACCCTGACTTCCGGTCCCTCAGCAGGAAGACGGGCGAGCCAACTGTGGCACGTCCAGTTGGGGGACACTGTCACCAGTAACTGGGAATGACTAGCGACACTCACAGCAGCACAGATGAAACTCAAAGTCATTTTGCTGAAGGAAAAACATCAGGACACCAAGGGATACAGTAAAAGAGCCCAGAAACAAGAGTACACACGGTGGCTCAGCTGGTTGGAGCATCGTCCCGTAAAGCGAAGGACTGTGGGTTCAATTCCCGGACAGGGCTCATAACCGGGTTGCAGGTTTGGTCCCCCGCTGGGGCGCATAGGACAGGCAACCGATGGATGGTTCCCTCTCACATCGATGTTGCTCTCTCTCCCTCCCTCCCCGGGGGCTGGCAGCACCTCTGACCTGCACTGACCTCTTCCTGCGCAAACGCCTCCTGTGCACATGGAGGCCTTGGTGGTCCTGAGCTGTTTCTGCAGCTTAGACCTGGCTCCTCAGGTAACCTACAGCCCTCGGGAAGGGAGGCCACATCTTCCATGGGGCATTCGTGGCCCTTCTGATAACATTTCTCACTTCTCAGCCACGATTTGAGAGGCAGAACCCCCTGAAGCCGGGACGAGACACAGGCTGGGGGGGGGGGGGGGAGAAGCCCGAGGGGGGACTGAAGGAGGGGGGGCCCTGGCCCACCCTCTGAGGCCAGCAGCGCACAGCGAGCGTGACAGACACCAGCTCAGCTCTCACGTGTATGCGTGAATCCCGGGTAAAGAGGCGGGGAGACCCCATAAACTCAAAAACATGCGCCACAGAGTAGAAACAATTTAAAGCTGCAGAGACCTGATGCTACAGAGGAGGAACGGACGACAAGATAGTATAGTCATTAGCGTCCAGCGGTCAGAGGTGGCCCTTACTCTTCAGGACAGGAAGTCTTTAGTGCCCCCCCCCGCCCCCCCGTTCCTTTAGGTCTCAGACAGGATGCTCCTCGAGGCCTGTGCAGGTCTTTTCTCTTTTTATCACCCAATTGTTTTCAGATACCTGTTATTTCCCAAACCCCAGCTCTACAGGCAATTTAAGTAGCTATATACACTCATAGACATAGATCAGGGAAGATCAAGAGCGAGGCACCCTCTGAACATGACGAGGATCAGAGCTCTCTTCCATGTGTTTGTTTTATAAGCTGCGGGAGTCCAATGAACTGGAGAGACTGAAAACAGGACGCCCACACCTCGGGGCGGGGCGGGGGGGGGGCCGGGGGGTGCCCTGCCCTCCCGCGGCCGCGCCGGCGATGTTTCGAGTCACGGGGCCTCCGCTTCTTTCAGAGTGACTGGGGTCCCCACAGGCCACATGTGCTGGTCGTATTGGTGACAACTCGATTTTCAAGAGAACAAAGTGTATACTTAGACTCTTTAAAAATGCACTGTTCATTATCAATAGTTGGAAAACAGCTTTTTCTATGGACGTATTTAAAGGCTGAGACTGCTCCTTTCACAAGACCTGCGTTTATCTCCCACGCCTGCCTCGGGACCAGCTTCCTGTCGGCCGAGTCCGTCCCAGCACCGATTATTTCTCCGGACTAACCCCCCGACAGTCTGGCCGCCGCACGCCGGCTTTGCTCCTCCAGCGCCGAGGACACGCCCGAGCCAGGCTCCGGGCCGCTGACCCCTGTTCCCCGGCCACAGGCCGGGTCAGGGCTGAGTGC